GTTAAAATCATCTTTATTCCATACAAGATGAATGACATATTAAATACATAGCTAAAAACCTAGGACAATCCTTTGTCTCATGTTTAGGTAACAAGAGGAGGACGCAAGGTGGACAGACAAAAATACAATATACTTGTCACTGTGTGCATCGGACATACAGACGTTCTCTATTAAAAATTGCCATATATAATTATAATTACGGGTACATTATATAACAATTACAATTTAGAGTTCTTAAAAAAGACAGCAGCTAAATTTTACATCTAATTTTTACAGTAGAACAATCCTGAAGTGCATTTCCCCAAGCAGGCGTGTTTCTAGGCACAATAGATTGCATAAGATGCACAAAGTGCACACTTTCCCAGTCTACTTTTAAGGTGTCTGACTTCACGGTCTTTGTGACTGACCGGACAGAGTGACTTCAGCTTTGCAATGTTCTCGCCGTTAATCCACCTCTGCTTCCTACTTCAACTGTAACAAGAGTAGCCCTGTATCCACTATGAAAGTTAATGTCATTAACCAGACTTTCGTACTTCGCCGATTTTCTATCCTCGGCGTTCTGTGCATTCTGATCAAACGGGCGTAAGTTCAATTAGGGTCAGCGTTCGTTTGATAGGATCCTGGACTGTGATGTCAGGTACCAGCGGTGTCGGTAGGATGTCTGGGGGAATTGTGGTGTGTGTACCTCCTTCCAGGTAGTCTGGGCTTAAGTCACACCTGATTGTGACCTCTGGGTTGGACTTTGCATGCCACAGCTTAAGGGTGCTGACTAGTTCCATAAGGACACTATTATGTCGCCAGGTATACCTGTCCTTGAGGGCTACAGGGCACATGTTGAGGACATGACGCAGAGTCTGCCGTCCTTTGCAGAGTGGGCACTTCGGTGAGAGGACTTTTCCCCAGCGGACCAGGTTATCAGCTGTCGGTAGCCAGTTTAACATTCCGTTTAACGCAAATTCAAATACTCCCCGGGGGGTGTTACACAGGGGAGCTCTTCCACTTTAGATCAGACTGTTCTTGTATGACTAGTTCCAACCCAGTTTCCCTGTACTTGGAGTGATCTGCATTTTTCTTCCACTTTCATGTCCTCCTCCTTACGTAGACGTGTTTTTACTTTTTGACACACCTTTTCCTTTGTGGACTGGGGATTTGTTTGGGTTTCGTGGGGCTCGTTACCCATGACAGTGGTCAAGACTTCCTCTACAAGTGCGTGGTTGGTCACTGTACCTGTGGATTTGCGCCTTAACGCTGTCTCCCTTTGCACTTTGGCCGCTAAGGCGTTTTTGACTCTGGAATCACCCACTGTCATAGCTGAGGCGATGACACTGGCATGCTGCTGTTGGTATATTTGTTCCACTGAGGTGAGGCCAAGGCCTTGGCTGTGATACAGTATTCCAGGGTTCGCTGACCGCACCATGTTTGCCCATTTCTTTAGGTACTGGGTGACACTAGAGTTTAGTTCCAGAAGGTGTGTTCGTGAGATGTCGTGTACTGTCAGGAGGTACCGTATGGCACCTTGCACGTAGATCCTGTAAATCTCACATTTATATTCACCGCGGATAGGAGACGCGTCAATGTTCATGATGATACCGTTGGTTTCGTCAGATCCTACAATGGACTCCTTCAAGATGTTAGAGACAGTGACTGAAGAGCCGCTAGCGGTGATAAATCCTCCAGAAACTTGAAAGGGTTGTTATGATCGATGTTGTCCATTGGTTGATTCCCGATTGAAAAGGCCACGTTCTTCACCGACCCGCCACTTATGCTAAGGCTTTTACATTTCTGGGGTTTTAATGTCAGATGGATGCTTTTGAGATTCCGATCCAGCGTGTTGAGGATCCGTTGCATGGATCTTGATCTGCATATGGTTAGAGCCAGATCGTCAGCAAATGCAAATGTGACGTGAGTTTTATTCTTCATCACATACCCATGAGCTTCTTCGGTGCGCAGGTACTCCAGGGGCAGGTTAATGACAGGTAAGAAGATCGCAACTGACAGGGTGTCACCTTGGAATGTACCCACCTTCAACTGGAACAGGTCTGATGAGAAGCCTGGACATCTCACCTGGGCGGTGAGGTTACTGTAAAATACCTTGACGTAATCGCAGATTTGTTGTGGTATTTGGTATCGCTGTAATGCCAGCTGGATGAGATCATGGGGAACGGCCCAAAGGCATTTTGTAGATCGAGCCATGCAACATGTACGGTTTTTGATGATGTTCTTGCATTTCTGATGAGCTCATTTAACACAAAGGAATGTTCAGCACAACCCGACACGCCCGTCAGGAACCCCTTCTGTACCTCGCTATCAACAAAGCCGTTTTTAACAAGGAAGTCAATGATACGGCCCCCTATGATAGAATGAAACAGCTTGGCGATGGTACTAATCAAGGAAATCAGTCTAAAGTTTGCCGGATCATCTGTTGGACCCGCCTTGTGGATACTAATTGTATCTGCGTGTTGCCAGGACGCGCATGGTTGTATCTGCGTGTTGCCAGGACGCGCATGGCTGACCTTGACTGAGGACTTTGTTGAACAAGGTGGCAAGAAAGTGATGGGTTGTGGGAAGGTGTTTAAGTACATCGTAGCCTATGCCATCCGGGCCAGGTGCTGAGCTAGACTTCTTTTTACTGAGCAGCTGTTTTACGTGTCGAGGTCTAATCGGGTCGTTGTTGAATGGATGTGTCACAGATTCCGCAGTCGGGCCAGCTGGTAACCAACTTAGGGACGCTTGATCAACAGTCGGTGGATCTATCGAATATGTGTTCCTTAAATACTCATCAAGTTTTGCTTTTTGGAAAGTCGGTAGTTGAGGCTTTTTTCCAAATTCCCCCTTCGACACTTTCTTTGCATATTCATAAACGTTTTTCCTGTACTGTCTCTCATGGTAGGTGGTTTGTTTGGCCTGCTGGAGTCGCTGGCAGGTGTTTTTGACGTGGTTGTGGAATCTGAGGGATTTGAAGAATAGCATTCTATCCTGACTGGTAGATTGTCTGCTAAAACCAGATTTACGGAGGGTATTTTTGAGTCGTGTTGCTGTTTCCACCCTTTTAGTTTTCTGTTGAATGTACTCACTGGACTTACTGTCTTGGTGTTGCTTCGTTTCAAAACCCCTCTCGACTGTCAAGAAATCGTAGAGTTGTTGCACAAAGGCTTCACCTGCATCGGTCGCAGAGGTCTGGTTGCATGCAAGTTCGTGGTGGAGAGGTCGCAGTTTTTCAGCAAGTTCCCGGTCTACTTCTGTCCACTGTTGCTTGGTTAGGTTTGGGACAAGTATTCTAGGCCTGCACGGGGTTTGGGAGGCAACGTCAGTCGGTCCGATGCACATAATGCGAATTCGCAGTTGGGTTATACCCAGGGCAGCGGAGCGTCAGTTCGATGCGTCCTGCCCAGTCGCCATCTTGGGTGATACGACATGAATGAAGTGACCTGAATGAAGTGACGTAATATGCATTGATTATCACTGCTGGTACCTGTTTAAGGTTCATTTTTTGCAAAGCTCTCTCGACTGACTCGATGACCGTTGCCTTGCTTGATTCCGCTGCAGGGGTTGATCCGGGACAGTGGATCTGAGTCACCAGTTGTGTGACGGTGGTGGCAAAGTAGTCCCATACATGGTCCATCTCCTCTTCAAGGTTGGCCATGGACAAACACTGGATACGGGAAATCACAGGTTCCTACATTTTCAAATTTCAACATCATAAAGAACCTATACTGACTGCCAAGTTTACTGCCAACTATTATTTCTTATTCATTTCTCACTGAAACAACGTTGAAAATGCTTTCAATGTACACATGGTTTTGATTCAGTGGGAGCATTATGTATACACAGTTCAGTGTTCGAAATACTTTTTTTTCAGGTACGTGCAAAATTGCACACTGGCAAAATTTTTAGGTGCAATTTAAAAACATTATGTGCAAAATTATATTTAGCCTTGCATCTTTAGGTTTGCAACTGTTTTACTGTGTATTAACCTTCTTAGCCTGCCACTGCATATAGAAGTTTTAGTATACATTAAAAAGAAGGGACCAAACAAAACATGAACAATGCAAGTATAATCCGTGTTTATTTGCCTCAATTATCTGAGTCCTCCGTTTCGTCAGATGATTCTGAATCAGCATACTCATGCTCTTTTCTTCCATCCCTGCTCCCATACGGCTGTGTGGCAGGCCTTCTCTTTCCACCATCGTACCACAGGCTGATGCTGTTTGTTGGATCGAAAGCCTCCAGTGTCATACTGGATACAAATGTCACAGAACATTTTTTTCTTTACAATGTCATATCTCAGCCAAGGCCTCCCTGATTTCCAGCTGTTTTGAAAGTTGTATACGATTTCTTTTGCAGGTGGCTTAGCGGAAAGATCCTGCAAAAATATGTAAACCCACAATAAATTATATTTATATTAAAAAAAAGAACACACACACAAAATTTGTCGGCATTAGCTTCAGAGGACGCCGCTAGTGACTCCCGGCCTTCTCACTCGTCATATCGGGGTATCATGTCACGAACACTACAGTTGGAACTTCCACATCTTATACGGCACATAAAGAAAATTTACCAACAGTATGCGAGCAATAAATTTCATTTATTTTGCATATTTGTTTACCTTAAATATCGTGCATGATATAAGGGGAAAAATACTGCTTAGAAAAAAATACGTAAGGTAATT